ATGCTCGGCAACCAATTATTAACAATTAACCAACAAGATTATGTTAAATTAGAATTAAATTAAATTAGAATGGATACTTGACTGTGACCCATTAAAAATACCAAAATTTGTTTTCCAGGGATTAATTTTACATGCACAAAAAGCAGCATAAACAACAGAACATGAGGATTCACGTGGTCACATCACGCACCTGCAGCACTTCTGCGAACGGAGAAAAACATAATAAAACTATATATAAAAGGGCCTATATGTGAAATATTTTTTTGCTTAATTAACAAAACGAAAGAAAAAAGTGTGCAACAAGTAGTAGCCTATATGCAGAGTTTCAGTTCATTTTGTGTTGCGCTTCACAAACAACTTGAGAAAGTGGCATCCTGTTTGCTTCCTTAATTTTACAAAAGCACAATGTTTTGTTTTTATTGTGAATGTACACAAATAAAAGTAATATTTCAAATAGTTTCGAATTATGTCTTACTCTTATCTATATGACCACAAATGGAGTATTGTTAGTTGTTTCCACTTGTATAAGATAAACATTCAAGTGATCGTGCACACAGTTCTAAGCATTGCAAACTTGACAACGCAGCCTGTTCATTATCATCATAAAATACAGTCAGCCAAACATACTGAAAATCACAGCTTAATTCTTTGGAGCCCAGCGTGATAATTATGCCAAGCACATTTTGGTTTAGCGTACGTGGATACTGTAACACCAGAGAAGTACAAAACCTGGTTTAGCCTACATAATAAATCATAGTTTGGCATCCAAATACATTGCAAATATGGAAACATTTGGATTCGTGCTGAATGAGAGATGTTCGTGAGCCCAAGTTGGTTTCTGTTCCTTTAAATTAAGTCGTTTTGGCTTGTCGTTTAGGCTTCTTATATTTTCATTCTTGTTGTGTTCTGAGTATACCGTTAAATTTAAAGGATTTGTTGTGGAGTGAGGGGAACTAAAATAGCATATAGCCTAGCTATTTTTATAGTGTTATAATGTTTGTAAACATTTCGCTTTATTTAGGCTACTGGTATATACCGGTAATAAAATGCGACTTATAAGCAGCAACTTTTTTTTTTTTTGTCTCAAAAGCATAATCTTATTTTATATGTGTAGCGTAATTTTTGCGTATTAGGCCTGTTATTTTCATTGTTTAAATTTTTTTACAGTGCATAAATACTGAATAGGCCATTGTTTCTCACATTTTAAAAATAATTAAAATAATTTTAAAATGTGAGAAACAACGGCCTATTCAGAATTTATGCACTGTAAAAAAATGTGCAGTTTGCAATTAGCACAACTTAAAATATTTGCGTTAGAATAACTTTCCGGGATTTAACTTGAGGGCTATTCAAGTTGTCACTTACTTCACATTTGACAAAGTTGACAAAACATAACATTTTAAGGCAACCTTGACTTTTTCATCTTCAGAACAAAATGAATAAATTTTAACTTGCAACGTTACTAAAGGAACATCCAAGTAAGATATGTAGGCTAATCAAGAAAAAATAACAGGCTATGTCTTATTCTTACCATAGTAATTAAATAATTTTATATATAATTTAATAATATGAATATGATAGATTTTAATACACCTTTGAACTACAGAGAAACAGTGCTTTATCGTGAGCAACACCATGAACACGGCCTGTAGGCCAATTCTGTCATGTGACAACACATTTATTTGCGTTAAAGCCCTTTTTCTCTACAAAGTGTTTCCAAACTAATTTTTGCAACATTTGAAGTATCGATATAGAATTTATGCACTAAAGTTAAACGGAAAAATAGTGTGTTAACTCTATTTTATCGATAATTGGCATTTCCATAAGCTATATCGGTGAACATTTTAAAGCGCTAAACATTTTTTTGCAAAAAAAATCTTTGGATGGAAACCTGGCTAGTGATGTAGTTGTTTCCTTGATGAATTAACACTGGACGATTCAATTAAAATATTCATAGATGCATGCAGTGTTATATAAGTTAATTTTGTTGAATAGCTTTTTTGTTCTCAAAAATGTCTTTGCGGTCAGGATTTTACTTTACATGCAGTAAGTGTGACCTTTTAAAGGTAGAGTAGTTTCCCATAATGATGGTCATCTGTCTCTTCCTCAGGTTCAGCCAGGAGAGGGTGGTAAGGCCGTTCTGAGTGACATGCGTTCACTATCTGGAGGAGAGCGTTCGTTTTCTACCGTGTGTTTTGTCCTGTCCTTGTGGGCCATAGCTGAAGCGCCGTTCCGTGCCTTGGACGAATTTGATGTCTATATGGTAAAATAAATAAATGTGTGTGTGTATATATATATATATATATATATACACCATTAACAAGTTTGGGGTCATTGAGATTTTTTTTTTTAATAAAACGTTTATTACTCACTTTTTATGCATTAAACTGTTCAAAAGTGTGACCATAAAGACATTTATAATGTTAGAAAGGATTTATATTCTTTAAATCAGTGTTGTTGTTTTGAACTTTATATTCACAAAAATATTAAGCAGCAGAACTGTTTTCAACATTGATAATAAAATGAAATGTGCAGCAAATCAGACACTGAAGACTGAACCAAGTATTTTGTTATCAGTGTATTTTTTGGGTGCCGTAACTGGATACCATTTTTTCACAGTTTATCTTTTACTGAACTTATGAACTTAGTAGTTCATTTAAATGGCTGAACAATGTTGAAAAATATTTTTTTACAAATACAAAAATTTAATGTAGTCTCTCAGTTTAATGTGTGGCCATAAAGGATGTATACATCCATGTATACAATTATACAAATACAAAAAAAAAATGTTTATAGTAGTTTTGGACGCTGCTGTCACTGCTTGATATATCATGTCAAGTAGCCAAATAACATGTTGTACAGTAGGACATTTGTCGTGGCTGCTGATGACAATCAGGTGACTGGAGTCCTGGAGAAGCGTGTGCAGTCACTGTATTGTGTGTTTGCTCTCTCAGGACATGGTAAACCGGAGGATCTCGATGGATATGATGCTGAAGATAGCTGCCAGTCAGCGCTACAGACAGTTTATTTTCCTCACGCCGCAGAGCATGAGGTAAAGAGCTTCTCTGGTGTTCATGTAAAAATGTGCAGACGTAGTTAGATTAGAAGACATGATTGTGTTATTGCCTTATTCTTATCATTTATAACGCTAACGTTTTAAATTGATAGTAAAAGTGTAATGTTCTGCTTTCCTTTTCCCAGTTCTCTGCCTGTCAACAGCCTAATCCGTATCCTCCGTCTGAAAGACCCTGACCGTAGCCAGTCTGCTCTACCTTTCGGTCAGAGGAACCCAGAATGATGCTGTTGTCCAATGAACATCATCTTATGTGTATGAGGCAAAAGTCAAAGCAGGCAAAGTACTTACAGCTGACAGCTGCACTTTACAGCTCTCTGTTGCACATATGTTTACAGGTTATTTAAATGTATATTAATTTAGTTATTTAAAACCAAATTTTGCAGGTCTAGTTTTGTTCTGCACTTTAAATTTTTCTAAAATAATAGTTTTTAGGTTTATAAATTTGAACGTGATTCCAATGTTATGTGCATTTATACTTGGTCGAATAAACCTGTCGAATAAGTCATTTAAAAGCCACTTATAGCTTGTTAATGTTATTTTTCATTTTCCATTGTTTTATTTTTATAACTGAACTAATTAAAAAAAGAAATTTTAATGTTTCTAGTATAACAAAAAATGATCTGTCACTATTTTGTGATGTAATGGATCATTCATCAAAAATGCGTAGTGGTCTATTACTGGTGTAACAGTATGGAAAAGTCTATTTCAGTTAAAGGAAATCATATGAGAGAGAACCATATTACCTGTTTTCCATTTCCCTTTTTTTGTGTTTACAAGAAGTTATGAATCTTTAAACATTGACCTTGAATACATCCGGCTTCTGAATGGGCAGAATGCAAATAATGCTGTAAATTGTGGTTTCCCAGTGAAGCTTATTACATACAGTCACAATGGCACTTATTCAGTCTTGTGATAATCTTTAAACCTGTACTTCAGTAGAGATCAGCAACTACGTGATGGCGTCCATTTGTCTCTGTCAGCGTGTCTCTTACTTGACTCACAGTTTCTCTTTGCTGATTCAGCTTGTCATTGCTAGTTATATCCTGTCATTTTTTGAGGCGGTTCCCCTTGACAAATACATTTGTGGTTTTTATGATTGATAGTGTGCAAACTTGGGATTGGAAATTATGTTGCCAGTTCATTGCTCATTCATTGTTCCCTATTAGGTGTTAGTTGGAATATATTCAAACATATGAACAATTATTTAAATCAAAATTAGACCCTTGTGAGTTTTTGTCTGTTAACTTAAGCCATATTTCAGAAATACTATGGCCCGGTTTCACAAATGGGGCTTAGCTTAAGCCAGGACTAGGCCTTAGTTAAATTAAGATATTTATGCAACTTTTACAAAAATGCCGAAAACATTACAGGTGTGCATCTTGACACAGAACAATGACACTGACATATTTTAAGATATGTCAGAGCAAGATATTTTCAGTTGAGACAGCTCAAACAAGCATTTTAGTCTGGGACTAGCTTAAGCCTTGTATGTGAAACCGGGGGTATATATTTTAAATGCATGTTTCTGCTTAAATGTAGCTTTGGCAACTTTTAGCAGAAACATGTATTTAAAATTTATACTATTTCTTTGGTAAAAGGGTCCAAAAAATAATGACTCGTCATGAAGTACAGAGATTGTTGTCCAATCAAATTCTTCGTAAAATGAGAATGTCCCTCCCCCTAATACCATCTGCATTATAAATATGTAAGTATGATTTAATTTTATAGGTAACAGCTGTAATTTTGCAGATGGAGTATATTTTTAAGGATATACATAGATGTTTATTAACATGAAAAAATCCCTGAAAAATAATTTCAGGGGCTAAATGTAAAAAAAAAATGTATCATTTATAATTATTAAAACTGTTGTGTTTATTTAAATGAAATTATTATTACATGTTTTTTTTTTAAATCACAGCATGGTTAAGAAAGCAAGACAGAAATAAAGCATTGTTATTTTAATTGTACAAGCTTCTGGCTATTTTGTATAAATATGTAAAGAGCTACAACATAGCTGCCACAAATCATCAGCTTATGAAAAAAATTAAAGCACAATCCAGCATTGATTGAAACAGGTAGCATAATAATTAGTGGCTGTACAGTTACTGTTAGTAGATGGATCTAAATTCAGGTCTCAAGTACTTTGGGTAATATAGGCGGCTTTCGCTTCACCCCTACAAAATGAAGTACTGGTCTAAAATGGTTCTTCCAGAGGTCAGTGCGATTCCTGGCCATCAGTCTTCGGTGGCATCAGCATAGAGCAGGAATCCAGAGAAAGTGCTGTCGTCCTCGCTGCTGGAATATACACCGTTCCAGTCCCGCAGAGTCTCCAGCCATACCTGGTCTCCAGATGATAAACGGAGCACTGCCATGTTGGAGGCCTGGTCAATGTCCTGGCCGTAAAGGGAGTCTCGAGTTCGCAGTTTCCGAATGCCATTCACCACCAGGGCTGCACGTAGGGGGCGATTACGCACGGTTATGTAGTAGGAAAAGACGTAAACTCCCCCATGAGTGCAGTTGAACTTACTAGCGTGGGGGTCCCAGTGACCCTCCTCATTGTAAATGACTTTGTCAAACTTGATCGGCAGGCCAGGTGGTGGGAACGATCGGCTGGGAAAGAGACCAACGCTGAAGGCTGAGCGCTTCTGAACGGCAGGTTCACCTTTAAGGCCCTTGAATCCCCTAACACCTCGTGCTCCCTTCAGGCCTCGTGTGCCTTTCATCCCTGGCATCCCCCTCTGCCCTGGTGGTCCATGGGGTCCTGGAGGACCAGGCTCTCCCTGCTTACCTGGGGGTCCTGGGTCTCCCTTCGGACCCTTAGCCCCAGGAAGCCCATCTGTGCCATTCAGACCTGGCACACCCATGTCTCCTTTTGGCCTTTGAGGCCCTGGCTCCCCCATACTGCCTTTCTGTCCTTTCTCTCCAAATGGACAGTCTCCTTTGTCACCCTTCTCCCCCTTGATGCCATCTGGTCCGGGGGGGCCAGCTGGTCCTTGTATGCCAGGCTCGCCCGCCTCTCCCTTTGTTCCATTCCAGCCGGGCTCTCCCCTGTCCCCTGGGTCTCCTTTCAGCCCGGTTAAACCTGTATCTCCTTTGTCTCCTTTGAGGCCCATTTCACCTGCACACATTAACATCGAATGGAATTCGAAATATAAGGCCCGTTCTCAGGAAACTGTTAATGTACAATGGTTTGAAAAAGCTACTGCTAAAATGTATACTTCGGTTTTCCCACATTAAGTGCCATAATCACCATATACACTTAGGGACCACCATATGAGATTTTTAATACTTGATTCTAGGGGTGTGCAGCGAAGCCAGTATTTGTATCTGTATTTGTATCTGTAACAATTACAAAATTATTCGTATCTGTATTCGGATAAAACCAGAAGTAGGCGGAGCTTGAACCAGAACTTCGTACAGATACATTTGATAAGACAGTTATGTTTATGGTTTTACAGCCTATATTTTTCGTAGTTATCTCTGAACAAATATGCCGTGTTTAACTAAAATAATTTTTTTTAAGATTATAACATTTACTTAAATATCTTCTAACAGTCGGTGCCGATATCCTTGTATAGGCAGTGCTTCGAGACGTAGTGCGGTTGAGCTTTGAGCAACGTGAGTTCGAGTCCCAGCTTGGGGACCTTTCGTGATCCGATAAATACATATTTAAATATCTAAATTAAAACAGTAAGGGTTCCTACGCCGTTTAGAAATATGGAAATTGATTTAAGTAATTTCCAGGAAATTCATGGAAGGCAACTGCAACACTGCTATTTTGTTTGCGCTTATTTATTCATAAACTAATTTTGCTACTTCACACACTTGTTACTGTGTTGTAATTTTAGAGGTTTATTTAAAACAACATGTTTTAATTTGGCTCACCGGTTCCTGCGCAGTTTAAAAAAAAAGGATTTCACTTAAGTAATTTGCAGGTCTGGAAAACCAATGGGGAAAAAAAAGAGAACAGAATATGGAAAAATATTTGTGTTTCAACTATTTGCCCTATTCAGTGTTCTAAAATATAAAATTAATAATTTCTAAAAATAAATTTATCATACAAGAGGAAGATTTCATGACAAACATTTAGTGAGCATTAATTAATTCAAGGCGCACATTTTCATTATGCAGAACTCTTTAAACGAGTCTTTTTTGAACTTCACTAAACAAATATGCGTATGCCACGCTAACCAGCAAAAGATAAGGAAGCAAACATGCAGGCCTAGAAAATGTATCTGTATTACAGTTGATTATTAGCCTACAGAGAGCTGGTTTGGTTTTTGAGAGACAGAGAAGCGCAGAGACAGCAACGCAGCTGTTTGATTGGCGATCGCGCTGTGCTTATTCATTCATGTATCATATTGTAGCCTATAAGGTTTAAGTTATTGCCTTTTATATATACACAAATAGTAGAACGTGTATGATGTATTATTTTAGGTAATATTAGGCCTACTCTTGCCAAGCTCTGATTTCTGAGAGATGCACGGAGTGGCAACAGCAATGCGATGTTTGATTTGCGCTCTTTTCATTCATAAAATTTACATTCATTCACTTCACACACTCATTATTGCATGAATTTAGAGGTTTGTGTAAAATATCGCGCTGATCCCCTGGCTCACCTGTGAATCTAGCAAACACCAGACTGTGCTGCAGCCTCAGCCGAATATTCGGGGCAGAATTATTCGTTATCCGTTATTCGTTTTTGAAGCCATTATCTGTTCCTTTCCGAATAAGGTATTCAGCTTCGAGCACACCCCTACTTGATTCTAATTCCTGCGTAAGTAGTTACAGCCTTGCAGTTAATCTTTAATTAATATACTTGGATAACAATAAATTGTAATATCATTGCTCAGGTTTGGTGTGCCAAATATTTTACAGACAGAAATTACACATTACAGGGCTTGTCCACAACAGAGTTGAACTAAATTAGCTTGATGAGGTCAGTGTACATGTAACAAAATACTTAAAGACTGTAGAAGAAACTTATATCTTTTAGAACTGTGTTTCACTCCTTTGAATATGATGTCTAACACATCAAACCATTATTTTAAAAAGAGGGGAAATTTCACATAATAATAGGGTTGACTAAAAAGTGAAGGGCAGGTACAAAATCTATATGCATATCACATCATAACAGGGTTTAACAAAAAATAAGGGACAAAGCAAATTCTAGAATCTTAATGTGTAAAGCACTTTAGGGGGGGAAAGGGGGGGAAATCTACATAGTTAAAACACAATATAATAAATACCTGTAGTTATTTATTACTTCTAATCCTGAAACTCTTATATTATTTCAACCCTGTCACAGTTCACTTGTAACTCTTATACTTGGTAAACAGAGTACATTCTAATAGTACTGCTTAGTTTTGGTGTACCTTGTAAGAAATTACACAATTTAAAAAAAAAAAAAGACTTCACCATAACAGAGTTGAAATATTGAGCTTGATAGGGTCCATATAAAATGTAATGAAATGCTTATAAAGACTGAAAAAAAATAATCTATATCTGTTAAAACCGTGTGGTCCAGAAGACTTTGACAATGTCACTCTTTTGAATATGATGCCAAAAAGATGAAACCATTATTTTAAAATGGGGTAAAATGTCACATCATAACAGAGTTGAACAAAGTAAGGGACAGATACAAATTCCAGATTCTCAAAAAATGCGTAAAGCTTTTTAGAAAAAAAACAAATACATAATGAAAACATGATATAATAAATACCAGTAATTGACATGTCAAAGTCTAGACCCTGAATATAAGACGACTGCGTTTTTTCAGATGTATTTCCAAGAAAAAAAACATCGTCTTATATTCGGGACAATACGGTACTTCTAATGCTAAAGCTCTACATTATTTCTACCCTGTCACAGTTCATTTGTAGTTCTTATACTTGGATAACGGAGTAAATTCGATACTGCTATGTTTCAGGAATTATACATTATAATTCGAAAAAATCATCATCTCTGTTATTAGGGGTTCGCTATAACGGAGTTGAAATATAGAGCCTGATAAGGTCAATTTAAACAATGAAATACTAAAAAAATATATATCTGTTAGAATCATGTGGTCAAAAAGACTTTGATGTCACTCCCTTGAATATCACGTCAAACTATTATTTTGAAAAGGGTGGAAAGTGTCACATAATAACTGGGTCAAACAAAGTGTGGGACAGACTAATTCTACATTTTCTCTGGGGGACATGCTGAGATTTTTAATGGAAAAAGTAAAATTAATGCTGTTAAAATTTCTCTTTACTAAATAGAGTTCTGTCAGATAATGTGTCAGCAGTTCAGTTCTGATAATTCAGTTAGTTTTTTTCCTGTGTAGTAGTAAGTCATGACACTATTTCCTGAGAACAGTCCATAAATCAACAGAGCAAGCATAACAAAGTGAATCAAATACTGGGTTAGGGCCTTTGTCACTGATGAATGTACCTTTCTCTCCTTGTTTCCCGGTAACACCGGGAATCCCGGGTAGCCCACTCACTCCAGGATCACCTTTCTCTCCTGAAGGAGGAAAGGACATCTGTTAACAAACTTCCGAACATTATCTGTAAAGTAACCACAACAAGACGGAACATGCTGTTTTGAAAATCTGTTGCTTGGCTCAAGGTGCTCAAAGATCTCTCCAGATACGTTTGCTTTGTTCTCAAACCTTCACTTGGTATTGTCCGCAATAGATTTGACTCCGCATCAAACTGGAATGATTTGCACATGTCTAGATTTGCCGAAACTGTTCATCAGCATAGATCTCCACAAAAACCCTGAACACTGGTGCATTTATTTATTCCAGTGGTGAAGAGGTTGCTCAGGCTAGAAAAAGAGAAGAATCAGGGAATCTTAGGGAACTAGCATTACCAGTTTCAAGACAAATTGTAGGTTTTGCCAACTTGTGTGAGCATGCAGCACTAAAGGAAAGGGAGAAGTTCAGTCTATTTGATGTAGGCGTGGTAATTGTTTTTCCTTTGGTAGGGACACAGAAGGAGAAGCCTTTAGAATACACACAAACTCTATGCAATTCTCCTTAACTAAGGTCAAGTTCTTCTCCAGTGTTTGTCCTTCTTGCAAAACAAGGATATTTGTATACACAATCAACAGATGAGTGTCAGTGTCCCTAATCCTTTGTTTATAACTTTGGATAGGCTAACTGCCATATGTGGAAGTTGTGAAAGAAAAAAAAAAAGGTCCTTTTGTCAACAGTATTTGCCTAAATTCCTTTCGCTCCTTTATATGGAAGCTTAGATTTGGAACTCACAATTGTAACATCATTAACCACTAAGTTCTCTTTCACTTTCTGCAGGTTATATTGATTCACTGACCAACTATTTTCATAATCTCTCAACCAATTTGTTTAAACACAGTTTCTGCATCCAAATATGCCTACTACCGTATTATATAATAGGCAAAAGACAGTAAGTGAAATAAATGGTATGCCCGAATTTGTTGTATTCATAAAACAATAGCCTAAAAGTGCTCTGAAGTGCACATTCAGTGGACACTTTACTATCCCGTGAAGCCACGATAGAGGAGTTGTGAATGGCAGTGAAGTAACGCAACTGACGCTGCAGGTCACATGACATAGCCAGGTTTCATTCATACTAAACAGAACATTCTTTTTTTACCGGTTGCAAAGTTCGGACAGTAAGTGATTTCGGATGCAGTCACCAATTAATTCAGAAACTAACAAGTATATATATTATGATTGAGTCACTGAATGGTTCACTCAACCAGTTTGTTCAAAAACACTAATTGTGAAAATATCACATCATAACAGAGTTGAACAGAAAGTAAGGGACAGATACAAAGTGTAGATTCTCAAAAAAATTTTAAAGCATTTTAGAGAGAAAAAAATCAACATAATGAAAACATGCTATAATAAATACCAGTTATTTATGACTTCTAACCCTAAAGCTCTACATTATTTCAACCCTGTCAAAGTTCATTTGTAATTCCTAGATAACTGAGTCAATTCTGATAGTACCGCTCAGTTTCAGAAATTCTACATTATAATTTGAAAAAAAAAAGATCAATGTTATTAGGGCTTTGCAATAACAGAGTTGAAATATTGAGTCTGATAAGGTCAATGCAAACATAATGAAATACTTATAAAGACTGTAAAGTCAAATGAAGTCAAAAAGACTTTGATATCACTTCCTTGAATATTGAATAACTGACTACGGCGTCAGTTGCGCTGCTTCACTGCTATTCACAAGTTTGTTCCTCCTCAAATGTATTTACTCAGACAGTATACAATTTTGGACGCAGTCAATAATTCATTCAGAAACAAACAAATGAATATATTTTGAGTGAGTCATTGAATGGTTCACTCAACCAGTTTGTTCAAAAACACTAATTCATTAAAGAACCACCACTGTGTGTTGCTTGGAGACACTGTTGATTCAGTTTTGGCTTCGTTTTGGAATGACAATGTAACTGGCAATATTTTGCCTAAAATATAAGTTACTCAAAATTAACTTTTTTTATTGAACCGTTTTAATCATCTCTTGCTAATACTTATGTCGAACACAAGCACATGACATTACCATACAGACCTTCTCCTCCATGAGGCCCTGGAGCACCAGTGAGTCCATCCTGACCTGGAAGTCCAGGAGGTCCCATCTCCCCCTTTTCCCCTGGAATACCTTGCAAGATGACAATTAAAGGGCAAAGTTTAATTTGGCATTTGATTAAGATAGATATCAACTAGGCAAGTGCGACTCATCTTCTTACCCGGCAATCCCTTTTCTCCCACTGTTCCTGGAGGACCTCTTTCTGGTGGACAACATTCACAGAAGTTGAAAAAGCACTCATTGTAGTCCAACGTGTAGTTCCCAGGGCCCACCCCAGGAGGAACCATGGCCTCCGTGTGGTAGTCAGCAGAATAAGCATCACTGGAGTAGGTGGTGCTATCAGTGGGAGAAGTAGAGTAAGCGTCCATCATGGAGTCTGTGACTTCCTCTGTGATGCCACTGGCGGTGGGGCTCACAGTGGTGGTTATCGGATGGGACCCTAAGGGGCCGGGCGGCTGTGGAGGACCCCCTTCATCTCGAGGCGGAGGCTTCTTAGTGGGTTTCAGTCGTGGCCACGGTGTAGTCTTGGGTAGTGATGCTTGATTCCCTGCTGTTGCCACAAGCAAAGCCATCAGCAGGATGACCGGGTGGACAATATTGGGCATTGTACAAGTAGCTGCACACAAACAGCAACAAAATGCGCTGACGACAGAAGTGGACGCCAAATGGAAGCTGATAAACTCGATCTTTACATTTTCTGAAGAAAAAAATACTGCTAATACTTACCTAGTCGTTGAACTTGTGTGTCGCCTCTCCGTTCTCTTCTCTAAGAGAAAACTGCATCCAGATCACTACCTTTTAACTACCTGTGCCTCTCTGTTGCCCCTCAGTCCAGCCAATGAGAGTGTTTTCTACTGCACGGGCAGGTGACATACACTTGGCACAGACCAGAGGATTTGATACCCGAGGAGAAGCTAATGAGATGGCTTTAGAAAGTAACGTATCAGTCCTTCTTATTCTTATGCATCTGTATCCCTTGTGTTATATCACTTAGAAGGGCAATTAAAGTGCACACAAAGGTTTAAGGCATTAAAGTTTACACACAAGAGTACACCTGTCTATGTGTCCTGTTCATTCATTTTTCATACAACTATGAATGAATGGAAGTTCATGACAATTTTGTGTCTGAACTAAAATTCAGTTAAATATACAATTTTGGGCCCAGGAAGTAAATGGATAGGTCACACTCAAAAATGGCATTTTCCACACTTAAAAAATAAAATAAAAAGAAAGATGCAAACGATTTATCTTAAGGTGTAGCCTGTCAATGGGCCAGTAGCTTTAAAGCAGGGGTGTCAAACTCTATTCCTGAAGGGCCGGAGCCTTGCACATACCATGTAGTTTTCAAATAAGCCTGAAGGACGTGATTAGTTGGATCAGGTGTGTTTAATTAGAGATTGGCCCGGCCCTCCAGTATTTGAGTTTGACACCCCTGCCTTAAAGGGATATCTTTGTACTTTATTGAGTTGTCCCTTTAAGGGTACTGGCCCAGGGAAAAGCAGTTGTACAACTAAAGGTACAGTTTTTGCACATCTTTTCTGACAGTGTACAGAAAGACAACACATTTTTCAAGGACACCTGTGTAAATTTGTGGAGAATGTTATATATCCACTAAAATTCAACAGTTTTTGAAAAAAAATGGCTCAGAAATGTTAGTTCTAAAAGCATAACACTTGATATCTTCTAATGCAATAAAGCTCGTTCATTTTAGGTGTGATGTTTCCAAATACCTTGTGTTGAGCCACTGTTTGAGAGTATCATTAATGCAAAGGAGATCAAACACTACCATTCAAAATCTGACGGTAGCGACGTTTTTTTTTTTCATGTCTTTGAAAAACTCCCCAAGGCTTAGTTTATTGCTTATTGTGAAATATTATTACAATTTAAAATAACTTTTCTATTTTAAAATGCAGTTTATTCCTGATGCAAAGCTGAATTTTCAGCATCATTACTGCAGTCTTCAGTGTCGCATGATCCTTCAGAAATCATTCGAATATGCGTATTTGCTGCTCGAGAAACATTTCTTATCAATGTTGAAAACAGTTTTGCTGCTTAACACTTTTGTGAAAACCAGTATATATTTTTTTCTGAATTTTTTGATAATTAGAAGCATTTACTTGAAATAGATTTTTTTGAGCCACACACACACACACATATATATATATACATACATATATATAAATGTTTAACTAATGGTATCAGTCCATGTACACTGAAGCTCTCTTACAAAGTTTCAGAAGCAATATTGCATGCTGCACGATGTTAAGCAAAGGTTGAATAAGTCATGATTTTCCCAAGGATCAAAGAGAATCAGAGACTTTTGGGGGATTTTTGAACAGTCTCAGTGGAGAAAACACTAACACTTGGGGGGCAAATGGTCGTGTATCCTAGACGCCTTCAAACCCTTCCATCAGTCACACAGTCTACTTCCTAACAGTATAAATGTACAAAATTTGAACGAAGAAACCTGGGGTCGAAACTGCCTTCTACTGAAATGTGGCCTGAATTCTGTGTAACTGGTCCATTTGGCCGAAGCTCAAAGGGACGTTAAATAATCAAAGCAAATGAGATGTTGGCCCATGAAACAAAGTCATGGCAGTCTTTCTGCAGCCCTCCTTCAGGAAATCCAGCACTAGTGACTTTTATATCTCAGGGGGTTACTGACCAGAGTAACCCCAGAGTTGAGATGTTCATCTCGTACCTCACGGTGTGATATGTGTCCCAGCGGTGCTATGACATCATTCAAGGAAAAAGCTTTTGAATTACACCTCCAGTGTTTGTCAGATCAGTCGTGGGTGATTAAAGCGTGGCTGTGTTCAAACCAAGGTTATGTCATCTTAAACTGGGCATATTTAACAACTTCCATATTACCTAAACTTTTACATTATCTGGAGAAACTTGCTGCCACCACAATATGAGGGTATTAAACACACCTGAGCATGCTAATCAACGTCTTCAGGATCATTAGAAATTCACAGCTGAGTTTGATCAGGGTTGGAGCTAAACTCTGCAGCGCATCGGACCTCCAGGGCAAGATTTGAGGAACCCTGCTATAGTGTATAATGTCACCATCAGTGATTATGAGCATGTTTTTATTTTCTGGAACTTTTTTTTAAAGGTATTAATGTTTGGGGGGGAAACCCTACAAAAGTCATGTGGTGTACATGCAGAAACAAACAAACAAAAACAGGAAATGAGGAAATATGTCGTGTTGCGATTTCTCAAAAAAAAAAATTTATAATTATCAAAATAATTATTATTGAAGTAGCCTATTTATAGGCTTAATTTAAAAAATATATATATATTTTACAACATATTCAAGGTGTAATAAAAATAGTATTAATTTTTACTTGGTTACACCACATGACATTTTTAATCATTAAATTAAACTTTTGTTGAAAATGGTATAAAAGTTTTTCAAAATCATATGAACTTGACAAACATGCTTTAACTTTTTTTAAAAATGATATAAAAAGAAAGTCCTTTGTCATTGACCGATTAATCAGTATATGCACTGAAACTGAATGATTGAGAGATGTGCAAATAAACGTTTCTCAAAATTGCATCATATTACATTTTTAATATGCTTTTTCTTAAAATTGATGTATGGATAATGTAGAAGGCATGTAGATGATTGTGTACAACAGGTAAAATCTTGATCATGTTGATAATCTAGAGACCTTAAAAATCGATGTATCACATATGATGGTTTAATTGGGTTAATGAATTTTTGTCTTCGCTTGTTAATGGTCTTATGGAGTGTGGCAAATTTTACTTTAATAATTGTATTTTATATAATGATATGATATTACACACACATATATATATATATATTTTTTTTTTATTTTTTTTTAACCTATATTTTTCTTTTGTCATTGACCCATAAATCGTGTTGTATAACACATGAAGCAAAATGAGTTACAGTGTGCACTGAAGGTTTATGGGTTTGTTAAAATCTCCAATACTAATAGTGATGCTTTAGCAAACAGCACTAAAACAAACAGCAATATGTTTTCGCTGGCATTACCCTCTCCACTTACAGTGCCCATTAGGCTCGTCTAGCACTGTTTCTGTGGACACAAGGGCACCATTGGGAGTAGGAGATGAGAGGTGTGGGGGGATGCTGTGGGGTGTTACCTGAGCCTGTGATAGCCCTCTCGCTGCCGTTACAGAGGCCATATGCATTAGCTTCAAGAGGCTCAAATGCCCTGCGCTAAATGACATGCCCTTGTTGCCATGTAGGCAAAATGGAAACCATTAGTCAAACCAAAGATCCATTTCTCTACACCTCACTAAGCTTCCGGTACTGGAGCACCACAAAAATAAATCCCATTAGATTTCTGTGATGAAAATGAAATCAATAAGATGTGCATGCATTATTCAGCCTTTGGAAGGCTAACTGTATGGTAAGCACTTTTCTGCATCGCGGTTTTGCATCAGTTTATCCATTACTGGCATTATGTTTACTTGTGGCATGCCTAAATGGATCCTTCACTTGACAAGCCTATGCAAGGTCATGTCAGGGCATGAAGTAAAATAACTGGTTTTAAAATTGTTAAGGGTTTTCTTCAGTGTGTTGCATTTTACAAAAGGCAAGAGGTTTACAACGTCATCTTTCATCAACAATGTGTAAACGCATATAGGAGGTTTTAATGGGTGGTTAGCATGTAACATGAAAATTCTTCATCTTATTTTATTCCTTTTCTATTCACTTTTTTAACCAAGTCTACCATATGAAATAATATTCAAAACAAATCTATTTTTAATGGAACAGTTTATTGAACCTGAGACAAAATATAAAAGAACAACAACAAAAAAGTTTGCAAATGTGTTTTATGTTTATATGATATTTTATACATCGGGCTTTTATGCCTGTATATACTAGTATAATATAGGAAAATCTCACAAAAGAAGCTCGCAAAAATATGAAAATTGGAGATGTTATTTATTTACAAAAAGTGAAATGAAATTCTGATAGTTAATAATGTAAATCAAGGTACAAGGTACAAATTAAAACCCACAATTCTGCAGCCAATGTCAACAGCGTGACGCTCGGTATTTTTTATTGTTTTTTTTTTGAACACTTGCTTGGGGAATACAAAAGTGGAAGAAAAAAAAAACACATGCCAAGGAAAAGAGCCACGGGTTCAAGGATGGCCAAACAATACATAGCCATTAAAATTCAGAAGAGAGAGAGAGAATAATAATCATAATAATAATAATAATAAACAACAAAAAATAAATGGATGGACGGATGATAAAAAATTAAGCAGATCACATAGCAATAAACATAATCTTTCCTACAAAACATAAAAATGAAATAAAAACACCAAAAAGTGAGCATACATTCAAAGTTTTAGTTGCCTTTTTTGTTACAGGAGGTAGACAAGGATTTCATATAGATCTTAATATCTTCTTGAAAGTGAGAAAAATGCAGGTAACGCGTGGCGCTCTGTTTTTCTTGTGAGGACAGCAGGACGTCGCGGCTTTTCACGTTGCGGTATCGTAGTACAAAAAAAAATCTGTTTGCTGAAATGTAGTCTGACGTAGGCTTCTCAAGCTAACGGACCGATACGATGTAATGTCTGTAGTGCTTTTTGTGTGTATTTTCACCGTTCCACCCGGCGCTGCAGTCAGTCAGTCAGTCACGCACGCAGCGACAGCATGTGTATCGACGGATTGGCCATATAAAGTGCGTTAAAACTCTCCGTGACGCGTGTATCGGCTAAATAACAGCCCGTTTTGGGCAGAGACTCGTCGGAGACGCTAACTAGCGACACAGATGGCTTTATGGGAGGGAATGCATTCGCTGTCGTCGGGGGTAATGGGATCTGTGCGGTTATATGCAGCCCGTCGGTAGGGCACGAGAGCCAGACTGCAGCTGAAAGCACCGGGATCTCGCTACATCTGCAGCTTATAATATAACCACCGGCCATTTTCAGGCGGGGGATCAAACACGTCGGGCTGCAGATGGGCTTTAATATCGGTCTAATGAAGTAATTTGAAGCCCATACTTCAGTCCCCGAGCGTGTGATGATAGGAGACACAATGACGCTTTTGTCTCTTTTGGGTCGCATCATGCGTTATTTCTTGCTCAGGCCAGAGACCTTGTTTCTGTTATGTATAAGCTTGGCCCTTTGGAGTTACTTCTTCCACACGGACGAGGTGAAAACCATCGTCAAGTCCAGCCGGGATGCCGTCAAGATGGTGAAGGGAAAAGTGGCGGAGATGATGATGAACGACAGACTCGGCGGTCTGGATGTGCTGGACGCGGAGTTCTCCAAGACCTGGGAGTTCAAGAACAGCAATGTAGCGGTGTACTCGATACAGGGCCGGAGAGACCACATGGAGGACCGCTTTGAGGTCCTAACCGACCTGGTGAACAGGAGCCACCCTTCAGTCTTTGCCATTTTTGACGGCCACGGCGGGGAGGTAAGAAGTGTGGGTGCTGATGAGAGTCAGGGCGAAAGCTGGACAGACCAAATTCAACCGCTAGTTTACTGTTAAAAATGAAATTCTAAAAAGAATATTTAGAGAACGTTGGAAATTGGTTCTCAAAATAACCAAACATTAAGGGAACGTTGTGTGTTAAGCTGAGACGACCTTCAAAAGGAGCAGTTAATGCAAAAAAAAATGTGTTTCCTCATGTCGTTCCAAACCCGTATTCCTGACTCATTTCTCTGGAACATAAAAGGGAAGGACTATGAAGCAAATGATGGACATTTTTAATGTACTGAACGCAGATGGGGACTGGGGTTGTAAAGCTCCAAAACGTAAACAAATCACCCCAAAAGTCTCGTAAAAGTGGCGCCTCTGAACAGGTGCCGCAGTAAAGCAGTGTGGAAGTGTGAATGTTCTTAAGTTTAAAGAAATAGTTAACACAAATATTCTCTCTATCAAGCCTATATAACCTTTTATTTTGCTTCTGATGTCATTTTACTCCACGCAGTGAGTGAATCGTCTTTTGTGTTGGTTGGGGGGAAAAACAAGCTCATACAGATTTGGAACAACACCAGTGTGAATAAATAATGGGTGAACTGTCCCTTTAAGACTTACTGTTTTCAAGAGTTTATACATAAGTATTTAAGGTAAATTCATGGTTATTATAGTTAGCTAAAATTGACGATTATAAACGATTATTTAAAAAAATCGTTCCGTAAATAAAAAACGTTTTGTTTCAGCTAGTTGCCAAGGCAACAGTACTCATTTTAATTTAGTTTAACTTGATGTACTAAAATAAAGAACACTGAAACAGAAATGGCTAAAAACTATATATATATATATATATATATATACCTTTTTCCTGTATATCTTTTCACAAACTGCCTTTGTAATGGTTATATGAGTACTCTAATGCAGCCAATTGATACTTGTCTGGTGCATTCAGTCAGTTCCCCTTCCCCCCAGACATCTGCTCTGACCAGTCTGATTTCCCAGCCTGTATGGAGCACAGACAGATGTTCATTTTATCTTCTTCATTGTGCAGTAAAGCAGATGAATGCTGGTTGGCTTAAAGTTTGAATACCTTCTGAGATTCACTTGAGCAATGAAATGAACAGCTCACACGGTTTAAGGAGACCTGAGAGATGTGGAAACCTATTAAAACAGCTCGGGAAGCTCTTTGAATTTGGATTTTACCGATCGGCTATTTTCCTCACCAGTCTAGTTGACTGTTTCTGGCTCTCGTGGTCATATATGGAATGCCTAAACTCTATTTATAGTGGGATTTGTTTATACAAATGTCCAGAGGCCCGCCTGCTATCCAAGCAGTTAATAGATTCAAATGTGCCAACCTCATGCTCTTCGACCCCAGTAAAAGGTCTTTTAATCTACACTTATCTCCTCCCATAAATGTGTGCTGACCCAAACGTCCTGACATTATGAGTCTTATCTGTATATGTAGACTTCAATTCAATTGATACCCGTACTGGCTGATTTTTCTGGTTGTGAAATGGAAAGGCCATGATAATTATTACCTAAACGAAACTGTTAATGTGGGATTACTGACACATTCACTCAATACAAAGAAGAGCGCTTGAGTTTTTATTACTACTGAATAGGGCTGGACGATTTAGCTTTATCTTGATATTTTTCTACATTTTGACAATAATCAGTATATATCTTAATATTTTTGCATTTGCTCTGGAATAATTAAAAAGGTGATTTTCTTCTGCCCAATTATTGATTTGGATAGGACTATTATCCTATTATTATCCTTAGGCTCTTGTTTGTAAGCACATTCAGTGCACTGCTTCTTCAGAGCAATGTAATTCACATGCTACATTTTACACAGTGCCACTGGGGTAAATTAAGTGGAGGCAAATATTGTTATTTATTAAAACAATAAATAAATATTGATATAATTTTATTTAATTTTAATAATTTATTGTTTTTATTTATATATATATATATATATATATAT